GATATATATATATAGATATATAATTAGACATTAGATTTTGGCCAGAAGGCTTGGATATCCTTTTTTTCCCTGCTGTGGACAATTCATTCCAACAAACATCTTTCAAAAGAAAAATATTCTGCCCTGAACTATAGTAGCACAAGCATGACATTATCTTACTCCATTTTAAGTCTTCAATAATAAATACAGTTCACTGAAAAGAAAAAAAACATAACTGTGTACCTGAGCCCTCTACCGCAAATCCCATGACAACAGAGTAGAGCCAAAAGTCTCTGAACAGCTTCTGCAGACGTGGTTTTGCTTCCTTTATCGGTGGCAACCTCTTAGTGAGCTGAAGTAAAGCACAGACAGTAAACATTGCAGTGATGAAGAAAAAGGTCACACCTTCGAATGGAGGTTTAATTTGCACCAAGTATAATAAAAAAAAGTGTTTAAGTTTGGTAACAAGAAGAGATGCTTTGCTCACTTACCACAGCAATAACTGGAATTAGGACACCCAGATTCCCAGCACTGCTGGATGCCTGTAAATAATAACAGTGCATTTCTACTTTTTTACAAAATATCAGCATTAATGGATGCTTCTAACAATAAAAGAGGACACAAGGTACTAAAGACGTTTATTTATACATAGCTTGGATTAATATAAGTGTTAGTTTTCACGAAACAAAAGCTTCAGTCTTAGCGGAGAACTGTGATAAAAACAAATGACAAATTAAAAAAAGCTACAATAAAAGAGAACCTACAGTTTGTTTTTTTTAAGTCATTCTGGGATCGTTTTGATCTCTGGGAAAACTATTAGAGAAGAAGCTAGCATTATTCTAGGTAAACCACTGACCCTTGAATGTCACTACAGGAAGCCAGGAAGTTAGGATTAGTCAGAAGTTGCTTTAAGAATTTGTCCATTAAGCCGGGCATACGCTCAGGACAGAAAGGACGTCTAGATTTGTTTAGTGTTTGTCGGATTGGATATGTCAAGAAAAAACAACCAAAAACTGGATCATTTTTAATGGTTTTTCCATTTTTTTAAAATCAGAAGCACAGTATGTTTCTCATTTTTTGGATTTCCCATTTCAAAATCAAAATTGAATGGCCAGCATATACAGGCACTATCGGGCCAAGAGAATCCAGTGTTTTGGTTTCCCTGATTTTTCCCGGTGTCCTAAACTGACCTGATCACTCTTAACACACCAAACAGGGCGGGGTTATCACCTAAGATTATCTTTAGAGCCACACCATTAAACAGAGCAAAACTCTGCATGATTCGGTTTCCATGTTATGACAGAGTATTAGGGCCAGGCTAGAGATTTTTTTTTCCATCTATTTCGAGACTAAAGTCATAAAATTACAAGAATAAAGTCGCAACGAGAATAGTCCTAAAATTACGAGAATAAAGTCCTAAAATTATGAGAATTAAGTCCTAAAATTATGAGAATT